TCGTCAATACCAGGTGCCCCTTAAAAGTGTGAGGACTGTAGATGGGGGGAGGGGGGAAGGAGGAGGTGACCCTGGGAGGTGGGGAGTTGTGTCTCCCCTACTTCCAGGGGAGGAGGAAACCAAAGTTCAGAAACCTTAAGTGTTGCATCCAAGGCTCACCATGAGCGAAGGACATGCAGATCTGAGCCCCAGGCCAGACCTGTGGACCCACGTCCAGGGCTCCTCTGGCTGCCGAGGGGCCACTTCTGTTTCCGAGCCGTCTCCTCCTCTCCCCGCATGCGGCTGGGCAGCCCCTGGCTGCAGGCCTACAGCCGCACGTCCTGCTGCCAGCCCTTCATTCCCCCTCCACCTCCCCGGGAACTTGGTCCCTGCTCTCCCTCCCACCCAGAACATTCTTCCCCAGGTGCCTGCTCACACTCCGTGCCAGACTTTGCTTTAACGTCCCCTCCACAGAGAGGCTTCCTCTGACCACCTTATCTGAAACAGGCACCTCCTCTATGTAAAATAATTAGCTTTGGACCGGGGCGGGGGGGGCAAATGTGACAAGACAGTCATGCTGGGAGATGGGCACCCGGGGTTCATTGCTCAGTTGTCTCTATCTTTTTATATGTCTGAAATTTCCCATAATAAAGTTTTTTAAATAAATTATATAATTTTTATTTTTTTAACTTTAAGGAGGCTCCACACCAGTGTGGAGCCCAACGTGGGACTTGAACTCATGACCCTGAGAGCAAGACCTGAGCTGAGATCAAGAGTCAGATGCTTAACCGACTGAGCCACCCAAGTGCCCCAAATAATGAATTACAGAATCAACATTCCCGGGGAGCCTGCGTGGCTCAGTTGGTTAAGCGACTGCCTTCGGCTCAGGTCATGATCCTGGAGTCCTGGGATCGGGTCCCGCATCGGGCTCCCTGCTCGGCGGGGAGCCTGCTTCTCCCTCTGACCCTCCCCCCTCTCATGTGCTCTCTCTCTCTCTCTCTCATTCTCTCTCTCAAATAAATAAATAAATAAATCTTTAAAAAAAAAAATGAATTACAGAATCAACATTCCCGGGGAGCCTGCGTGGCTCAGTGGGTTAAGCGTCCAACTCTTGATTTAGGGTCAGGTCATGCTCTCAAGAGGGTGAGATTGAGTCCTGTATCAGGCTCTGCGCTCAATCCGCTCGGCCCTCTCCCTGGGCCCCGCCCCCCACTCGTGCACTCTCTCTTGCTCTCTCTCTTAAATAATTAAACTTTTAAAGAAAGAGAGAGAAGCCAACATTCCTTCCACCTGTCTCTATCCCGTCACCCGGGTTTACCTTCCTTCCTAGTACTTAACTCCACCTGGCGTCACGCGATGCACCACTGGGCCACCATGGGCCCAGACTCGGGAGGAGCATGAGGACAGAGGCCTGCTGTACTCCAGTGCGGCTCAGGCAGAGGGCCTAAGGGGGGGCGCTCAGCACGGACCAGAGTGCGGGGGCCTCGGTGGGCAAGCAGAGGAGCCTGGGCCTTGTACGGAGGACGGACATGGAGAGGGCACACCGCACCTGGGTCCCGTGCGCCTCACCTGCCTCCTGACTGTTCCAACGACACAGCGATTCATTTCCACTTCTGAGGTTTTACACTTATTCCCTCTGCTAGAAAGCTCTTCCCTGGCTCTCCTCCTCCTTTGGGTCTAAGCATGAGCATGGGCTGTGCAGAGAGACTGACCCCGAGCAGCCCTCGGGAGCAGACACTCGGGGATTATCCGCACCAGCACCCCGTTTCTTGCAGAGCGAGTGGTATGAGGTTTTGCTGCTTCCAGTTGTGCAGCCGGCCCTGCACGCACACCTTCCCTCTGTGGCTTTGCAGGGTGTCCCTCTAGAGGCAGGGTGTGTTTTCCCAGCACACTGATGGTGGACTTGACCACAAGACAAGCTTCGGCCGATGGGATGTGGGCAGAAGTGAGAGTGTCCCACTTCTGGGGCTCCGGAAGCACGACAGCTTTCTTTTTGCCCCCTGGCCCCCTGCCATCCCCACGGGACACACATGTCCCCGGAAGTCCAAGGATGAGTGGCCTATTGAGCAGCCCAGCCAGATCCACGGATCCGCAGCCGATCTGCAGACTTGTGAGTGAGAACGAGTGACTGTTGTGGAAGCCCCTGAGTTTGGGCTTACTAGGTGGCATAAAAGTGACCACCGATGACTGGTCTGCGGAACTTAACATGCTCTCATTTATCTCCCTGTGTAGTCGCCATGGTCTGGGCGCACGCTAGCCCGCACGCTCCCTGAGGCCAGGGCCCTCCCTGTCTACCGTAGTCAGTCCCCAGTACAGGACAGGGTCTGATGGCTGGAGAACGTCGAATATGCACATCGAGCCAGGGAATGAATGGATACAGTGTCTTAAAGGGTCGGAAGCAGGGGAGGGGCGGGAGCAGAACTGTGGGGTCCGTAGGGGGGCAGGGCATTTGCAAGAGATCCCGTGAGGAAGGTGGCGCCGTGGTCCAGAAGGAGACAGGTGGCCAGGACTCTGGAAAGAACAGAGAAGCCAACAGATTTGGGATGAGTAACCCCAAAGCTGAGGCCGATTCAGCCCGTCCTGCAGGCCAGGCTCTCCCTGCACACCCCTCCGTTAAATCCTCAAACCACCGTACGGGGTGGTGATCATCCCCGTTTTCAAGGAGGCACAGAGAGGGTCATAACCTTCCCAGGTCACACAGCGAGTAAGCCGCGGCTGCCAAACGAGGCCGCCCAGCCCTGGGGTCCTCACGCTGACGCCCTGCCCACACCCCTGTGTTCCAGTCTCACATTTCAGAGCAACGTGGGGGGGGTCCGGAGACACGGGTGGCATGAGGGGGGCAGAGGAATTCACCCCAGCTCGTGTGGGAGGAGGGGATCACTCACCACCCACCGGGAGATACCAGGGAAAGCGTTTTGCTTTTTGACACTTAATTCAAGTGGTCATGCCTTGGATTGCGTATTGGGACCCCTTTTGAAACCCTGGGGGCTGGCGGGAGGCGGGATCTGTGAGCATGGAGAGGGGAGCTCCACCGGACCATACGCTTTCCCCGTTCCCTCTCCCTTGCTTGCCCCACCCCGGGAAGACTAGGTGGATGGTTCCTCCCAGAGTTAATGACCCCCGTGTAGACCACCCACACCCTTCGGCCGGGGTTAGAGACAAAGCAGTGAGAGAATTCCTAGTGACAGAACCTCAAGCATCGGTGAGAGGCCTGCAGAGCAAACCCGGGAGGAGGGAGTCTCTGTAGGAGTTTGGGGAGGCCCCCAAAACTCCTCTGGGTTGGGCACCCTAAGCTGGTGGGCAGAGGTGTGGATGGGAACCCTCCCATCTGCCGGCTCTTTGCAGTTTACAAAGCACTTTCCCACACGGCGGCCTCGCGGGGCAGGACGGAGGCTTGCTGACTTCCCAGCGCACACACCTGGAAGGACCAGAGCTGGGCGGGACCCCGGGCTAAAGGCCACCCCCTCCTTGCTCTGCGCCCCCCCGGGTGATGCGGCCATCTGTCCTGGCGTTGGAGGCATGGACCGGGCTGACGTCACGAGGGTGTGGGATCGGCCCCCGCAGGGGCCTGGGGACTCACCGGGTGGGAGGCCGGTGCCCCACGGAGTTGTCCCCGTGGAGGGAGCAAGAATCCTTAGAACAGACCTCATGTGTGGAAAGACTCTCGGAAAGAATGTGGCCGACAGTGATGCTCAGCGAAGTGAGGTGAAGAAGGGGAGGGCTGAGGTCATGCCGCGTCCCAGAGCTGCTCAGACTGGGACCAGAGGAGAAGCCAGTCTGGAAAATTCCGTGGGCACAGCCCAGAGAAGCCTCCGGCTCCTGACTTCTTCCTCCTCCCTCAGACCAGCAGCCACTCCCTCCTCGGAACCTCTTCTGCACACGCGGTAGGGCCCGGGGGTTCTGGGTGCGGGGGGTACAGCGACGGGAGTGAGGGACAAGGTCTCCCACACGGCTGGGGGGAGAGGCAGAACGAACGTCAGGAGGGAGGGCTTTCCTCTGGCCCCACGTGCGATTCCTGGCTCTCTCGGTGGGGAATCCAGGGACTAGAATGTTCCAGCCGAGAACCTGTTTCCGTGGCCCCCCTTCTCTCCCACAACAGCCTGGCTTCCCCCAGCCTGGACTCTCTTCCTTTGGCTCCAGATGTTGCTCCCTGTTCAACTCCGATCTGCCCACCGAAGGCAAACACACAGGCCTTGTCCATCAGGGACGCCTAGTTTCTCCTTGGTTTTATTTGTTCCTGGGCAGAGCCTGCCACCACCCCCACCACCCCCCCAAAGAGTCACTGTGGGGGCGTTTGCTGAGTGGTCATGGATGAATTCATTCATTCGGCAGATGTCCCAGGAAGGCTGCTGCCAGGCCACCGCGACATGGACACGAGCCGGACACCCCACCACGGATGCGACGGTGGCCACACAAGGCGATGAACAACTGCCCGCTGTGTGGTCGCTCCGACTTTCCAAGTAGCAGCGATCCTCACAAGTATCTGCCAAACTGGGGCGCCTGGGTGGCGCAGTGGGCTGAGCGGCCGACTCTTGGTTTCGGCTCAGGCCGTGCTCTCAGGGGCGTGAGACCGAGCCCCGCGACAGGCTCTGCGCTCAGCACGAGTCCTCCTCACAGTCTCTCTCCCTCTTCCACCCCGTCCCCACTCTCTCTCCCTCAAATAAATAAATAAATCCTAAAAAAAAAAAAAAAAGTATCTGCCAAACTGGACTGGACCAAATGCCAAAAACACATCCAACACACAAATGCATCGACGTCCGTATTCCATTGTCCTCTGGTGGCCCAGAAGGTGCGCCAGGCCCGTGAGACACAGCAGGGTCTCAGCACTGGTCACTCTCTCTTCTTCCCATTTCTCAGCTGAGACGACCAAGGCCCAGGAAGGTCACGCAGCTCGGCACGGCCGGGACGCAACCTCAGACCGTGTGGGGTGAATGTCGATGTGCTTCCAGCGGCCTGGGCGCTCCCCGGCCTGGGCTTCTCGGCCTGCTGGAGGAGAGCCGTGTGCAGCCGGACAGAAGGAGGCCAGCACAGAGACGTGCCAAGAGGTGGGGAGCACCACAGCCTTCTCGGGGCCCTCCTTGCTGACTCGTCCTTACATCTCAGCAGCCAGGAGTGGGTGCCCTGCTCAGCCTAGCTGCAAGGGAGTCCGGGAGGTGGGTGTGTCCCCTGGCCTGCCCCCAACGTCCTCGGGTCCTTGCAAAAGGAAGAAGAGGGATGGACGTGGGTGGGCAACTTTGCTGGGCTGGCCTCGTTTTTTATAATGGGGATGAGGACCACTATCATGAGTATCATTATCAGTCTGGCCATTCCCTGCCTGTCACCAGCCCAGCCTCCGGCTCCGACCCCAGGGCACGGGACACACACATGCACACAGGCCCACAGAGAGGGACCCCTGAGCCCCCGCCACAGCCCCTCAAGGCACAGGTCACAGAGGCTTCTTGCCAGGCTGGAGACCAGACCACAGGAGCCACAGGCCTGGCACGTGTCCCCACAGGGCTCCCGGTGTCCCCACAGGGCTCCCGGCCCTGGCCTCCACCAGCGTGGCCCCAGCAGGGACAGCTATTTTGAGAGTAGCTGGCTGGTAGGTGGCACCTCGTGATGGAACAGTTCTCACTTGAGCCCGACAGACCTTGGCTGATGGCCTCTGCTCTCTGCCTCCCCCCTCCACCTGGCAGCTTCCCCTCCCAACCTCAGGTCCCCGCTTCCCCTCTGCCACCCGTAACCCCCTCCCCAACTTTCTCCTCCCCATCTCTTTCCCTCCCCCTCCCCTCCCTCCCTCCCTCTCCTTCTCTTCCCTCTCTCTCTCCCCCTCCCCATCTCTCCCTCTCTCCCCCCTCTCCCTCTCCCTTCCTCCTGTCTCCTGCTTCTGTGACATCCAGCCAGCATTCCCTGAGTCCCCAGCAATGAGCACAGCGCCCCCGATCCTGACTCACGCTGGTCCTTCACTGCTGGCCTGGTAACAGCAGAGCGGGGATTCATGGCCCCGTGTTCTGGCTCCCGCACCACATGTCTGTGGCCTGGGGCTCTCCCAGAGGGCCTGCGCTGGGCTCGAGGGACGAGGGACATGGGCCCTAAGAGAGAGCAGTGGCCGCTCTTGAGCTCACTGTCCAAAGGGGGAGCAGCGAGGGCTCAGTCGCCTGGATGGACACGGGCACCCCATCTGGCCTCACTGTGCTGGTGGCTGGGGAGCTCACTAACCAGGCTGGGGTGGGGGATGCTGGAGGGCCCTTGAAACGTCACCCAGGGGGAAGAGCTTGGACTTTGTGCTCAGGCAGTGGGGAGCCACGGGGGCTCCTGCACAGCTTGATCAGGTTTAGGTTGAATCAGACTGCCAAGGGACTGGACAGTAGTGGGGAGGCTGGAAGGACACAGGGAGGATGCTTGCTGGTCAGGGTGCTGTTGTGATACGCTGGCCGGCCAACCAGAGGGGCCTCCAGACACGTGCAAGGGGCCCGGCGTGTGGCTTTGGGTCTGCTTTGGACAGTCCTGGCCATGCCCATGGGTCCCCCTCCCCGCCCTCACACCACGACCCATTCCCCACCCACCACGCCTTTGCACCCGCCACTTCCCTGGCCTCGACACCCTTGCTGCTCCTCTCCAGCAAGCATTCCCAGACTTCCACTTCAGTTCAAGGGCACCTCTTCCAGAGAGCCCTCCCTGATGAGCCTCTAAAGCCATAGTGGCCTCGGGAGCCAGCTTACCCAGGCCCTGCCCTGCTCTCTCCCACGCTCTTCACCCAGCCCCTGCCCTGCTCTCTCCCACGCCCCTCACCTCTGCTTACACGGTCCCACTGCTGGAGAGCCCACCGCCTGAGTTCAGACCTCCCGCCCTCCACTTCCTGGCACGTGACTTACCCTCTCTGTGCCTCGATGTCCTCGTCCGTAAACTGAGGACGGTGGCGCCGCCTCCTTGGCAGGGTTGTTACGGAAAATAAACAGATATGCCCGGAGCTCACTTGCCACAGGGCCTGTGGGTTCGTGGTAAGCAGCCAGCGGGCAGCACCCAGTGCTGTCCTATCTCCCAAACTGAGGGCTCAGGGGTGCGGGGCATCCTCCCTGCTCCCCGCAGCACCAGCCCTGCCCCCGGCGGCCACCAGCACACATCCAGCCCATCCTCCCCATGGGTGCTGGGAATATCTGAAGGCAGGGATCAGTCCCCTGAGCTTCCCTGCCTCCTGAGCAAACAGCCCAGTAGCCCCCCCAACCCCCCCCCCACAGTGAGGGTTCCAGGCCCTTCTGCACAGCCCTTTCCCCAGCACATTCCCGGGCCGGGCTCTCTCAGATCCAAGGTCCCCTCATCGGTGCTCCCTGGGGCCCTGCTTTGCACTGGGGCCAGCCCTGGTTCCAGAGCTGCGCTTGCCTTCCTCGGAGCCTCTGGAAGCAGGAGTCCTGCTCCTGCCACCTGGGACAAGATCAATTGTTTGTGTTGCTGTGATTGAAATTCTATACTTTCCTTTCGTACAATTCTTGAATGATGGTTCTTTTTTTTTTTTAAAAGATTTTTTTATTTATTTGAGAGAGAGAGAATGAGAGATAGAGAGCACGAGAGGGAAGAGGGTCAGAGGGAGAAGCAGACTCCCTGCTGAGCAGGGAGCCCGATGCGGGACTCGATCCCGGGACTCCAGGATCATGACCTGAGCTGAAGACAGTCGCTTAACCAACTGAGCCACCCAGGCGCCCCTTGAATGATGGTTCTTGAATTGGGTTTTGTGGCCTGGCTTTGTGCCTCCAACCGGACCTTCAGGTTGCCGAGGGCAGGGTCCACCTTTCCTTCCATCAGATCCCCCATAGCACCTAGCGTGCCAAAAATACTCCAGTTGGTTAATGGGTCACAGGCCCCCAGAAACTCAGAGCTTCAAGGGGTCTCAGGGATCAGCCAGCTCGATGCTCCCATTTCACAGATGGGGGAGCTGAGGTCCAGAGAGGTCACATGGCTGGTTCACAGCCATTTCCAGTGTGACCCCCCCAAGGGCCCTCATGCTTCCCGCAGGCCCAGAGGGCCTGTTTATCTCACTCAGGCTTCTGTCTCCAAGCCAAATTCCCCTTTCTCACGACTTTTTTCACTGACATCCTTTATCACGGGGCCCTTGTCAAAGACTCTGAGCGACCAGGTGTGAGCCAAAGAACCAGGACGCCAGACTGCATCCCCGGGCCGATCACAACCGCACGAGGATGAAGTTTGCGGGCAGTCAGGCCTGGAGGGAAATGTGCAACGTTGACGGTGGGCAACCTACGAAGATGGGCGGGAGTCTAGGGCTTTTTTCTTCCTTCCTTTTAACATTTCCACGTGGCTCTGAAATCAAGGCATAAGGAAGGATGGTGCCACCAACGTCCCCACACAGCCCCCTCCCACAGTTCGCCCATATGGCTACGACAATCCTGGAAAGTCCTGTCCTCCCCGCTTCTCAGAATGAGAAAGGTGGGGTGCCAGGAGGTTTAGAGAAATTGAGTGCCCAGTTCACGCAGCTACTGAGTGATAGCGGCTGAGTGGCTGAACCTGAACATGAGACCAAGTCTGGCACTGCCCCCTAAAGGGGGAGCGGGTGGAGGCTCAAGGAAGGTGGGACTGGGGGGGGGGGGGGGGGGGGGAGGGGGGGAGGGGAGGAAGGCATAAACAACCTACAGCAGCTACACTCACTGGTTTGTCCTGGGCACACTAGTGCTTGGTGGCCGGCTGGGCGGACGGACGGGCGGACGGGCGTCGGGCAAGCAGCAGCTCCGGGAATAAGAGCACGGTCATTTCTGTACACTCTCTCAGCTTCTGACTGAGAGGTGAGGGTGCTGGACAATGGTCTGAGCCTGGGCCCCTCTGTGGAGGGTCTTAAACCTTCCCCTTCCTTGCCTCACTCTTGGAGCGGGCAACGGGAAGACAGGAAAGGGGGAAAGAACAAATGGGGAATTACCATGAACTTGCTGAGTGCGTCTCCCTCTGGCCTCAGTTTCCCTAATGACAGAGTGAGGGGAGAGGACCAGGTCAGCAGTTTCCCACGTGGCTGATTCCAGAATTCCCTGGGAAGCTTGTGGAAATGCAGGTTTGCAGGTCCCCAGTCTAGTGAACCAGCATCTACTTTAACAGGCTGCCCAGGTGACCTCACAATAGGCCAGATTCAGGGATGAGGGACTAAAAGTTCCCAGTTGGGACACCCTCTGACCCACGGCCTTTCCCGTAAGCTCCCTCTTTACCTTCCCATCCTTCCTTCCTGATAATCAGGGTCCTTTCAATTACACTGTCAAAAGCAACCCATAGCAGCTGAGGGGAATTTATTTGCTGACATACTGAAAATTCAGAAGTGGCACTGCCTTCAGGCCCAGCTGGATCCAGGAACTCAAACATCCTCAAGGCTCATCACTTCATCTTTCAGACGTTCTTGTTTCCTCGGCATGTTGGTTTTCTTTTCTGGGAGGCTCTGTCTCTGCATGGCATGGCAATGGCTCCTGACCACTCTGACCCCATTCCTGCCAGCCCATGAGCCAGTAGAAGGCAAGAGACCCTCTGTCTTTGGTGTCCATGTATCAAATCTCATGGAAGACTCCGATTGGCTCTGCCAGAGTCAGGTGCCCACCATGAGCCAATTTCTCTGCCAGGGGGATGGGGCTTTCTGATCAGCCAGCCAGGGTCACATGACCCAAGCCAAGTCCATCAGGGCTGAAAACCTGTGTTATCTGCTGGGCTCCCCATTTCCTGGGCACATGGCCCTGGCCAAAGCCCAGCCACACAGACTTTGTGGGAGGGGGCGGGATAGCCCAGCATCCCCCAGGGGTCGACCTGCGTGAACAGGTGTCAGGTGACACAATCACTCAAAACAGTTGTCCCTCAGCAATCACCTGTCTGGGGGTCGGGGGCTATGGCAGCATTCAGGAAACTTCCAGCAGATCCATGCTGACCACCTTTATACATCCTCGAAAGGAGGTGGTCGTAGTGACACGTGGCTCAGTGCCGAGTCTTGGGGCGCCTCCCCGTCTGGCTGTGGAATTTGCCCTTGGTGCTTGCATAAGGACCCTCTCCAGTGGGGCAGAGCTTAGACTGCTAGGTCCCAGAAAGTCTTCCCTGCACCCCACAATCCGCAGGGCAGCTCCCAAGATCTCTTTGGTTTGTGAAGATTGCGGGAAGGGGGGGTACAGTGCTGGGACCCAGACAGGCCTGTGCTTCTGCCCCGCTGGGTTGGGAGGGGGACTGGAGAGGGGGCGGGGGCCACAGTCGGTCAGGGCTGGCTCGGCATGAGGGGGAGAAAGGGATCGTGCAGGCTTGGGGGAAAGAGCAAGCCTCTCCTGGGACAGGGTGGAAGGCCAGGCGCTTCCAGAGAGAACGTGAAGCTCTCCGTGCAAACCCTCCCTCCACCATTCAATACATTCCACCGCCCCAGGTAGGAAACAGGGGTTTTGTGGAAACTGAGGAAGGGGCTGGACTCCACCCCCGAGCTGGCATCACACAGGGCAGAAGACCCATGGGAGATGGAGGAGCACCAGGAAGAGGAGCAGGAACCCAAGGCTGGAGGACCGCAGGGCCCTTTGGGAGCCGAGGCTGGTGGCGCTGGTATCAGGATTTACAAGGGCAGGGGCCGCGGTCAACATCCGGCCCACGGCCCAGGTAGGTGCTACTCTCCTTCCAATTTGCAAAGCTGAGGCCAAACACAAGCCCCTCCTCACTCTGCAGGATACAGTAGAGACAGAAATGGAACCCAGACCTCAGGCTCCAGGCCATGTCGAGTCCGGGGAGGGAGGCTGGCAGATGGCAGAGGGAGCAGGGAGGGCTGAGGTGGAGAGGCCCGCTCCCTCTGCCTGCCCCTTCTGGCCTGGTGCCAGGGGACAGGCTCACAGAACAGGAGGGGCTAGGGATAGAGCTCGCTGCTGCGTGGACCCAGTTTTAATCAAAGCCCAAGTCACCGGGCGTCTGTCACCAAGGCAACGGGAAAGTTGCTCAGCGGAGGCACAATCAAGCACTCCAGCCTGTCACCATCACCAGGAGGTGCCTCCTGGGACCAGGCCCAGGGGTAGGCACTTTCCCAACACGCCGTCCCACTGAGGCCCACCGCTGCCATGGGCATTCTGCCGATGAGAGGCACCACCCCGGTCTGCTGGCTCCAGGTCCCACAGTGGATGGGAATCGGGAGGCCTGGATCCGAACCCCCATCTCCTGCTGGGACGTCTCCCAGCCTGCCAGGCCCCTCATCCCTTCTGAGCCTCCGTCCCTCCTCCCCACCCAAAGCACTGTCAGGGGTAGATGGGGCTAGTTCTGCATCCTCCGTGGTGGAGGGCTGGAGGACAGGCGTGATCACCCGTGAGCAGGGCTCTGGGACTCCTGTGACAATCTCCTGCCCTCTGGGCTTAATTACCGCCCTGTCTCTTGTGGAATTTGCTAATGGTGCTTCCCTGTGTCGGGTAATGTCGGACAGACGTGGTTGCTCACACTCTGCACTCCAGGCCTTCTCAGCCCCTCTTCTAGAGATGGGCCCCATCCCCCGGCTGCCGTGGTAGGAAATGTCCCCGTCATTCACTCCCCATCTTTCAAGACAAGGACTGACCCAGCAGAGCCAATCGGAGTGCTCCCCGGGGGACTGATGTACAGCCACCAGGAGGATGCTGAGAGGAGACCTGCTGGGACCCCTTTGTCCCGAATGTTCTGGAGGTGGTGTATCAGTCAGGCTTCAGGGACCGACAACAGAATCTATTCTAAATCTTTTTTTTTTTTTTTTCTAAAGCACACTAAGCAGCGGAGCGTCCAGGAGCAACTTCCAAACTGGGCCACCCAGGGGCCGCAGCTCCTGCTCCAACAGAGAGCTGGGGAATCGGGAGGTCACCGCTCAGCGGCCAGCTCCAGAGCCCCGATCCACATGGCAACATGGGTGCTCGGTGCCGTCTCTCCCCATGAACCCCAGTTCCGATTTCTCACCTGCATGAGCGCTCTTCGTGGGGGACTGATGTGGCCCGCGGGTGGCCAGCTGCAGGCGAGTCCGGGGAACAGAGTGGCCAGGCTCCCCGGCTTCCACAGCACAGGAGGCGAGCTACGTGCAGGGTAGGGCCAGTGAGGCCCGAGCCACAGTCGGACCCTCACTGTCCTCACCGTCATCCCGGACGATGCTGTCACAATGTCCCACGCCACCCTGCATCTGTTCCGCTATCATTCAGGGACATGGAGACCTGTCCCAAATACTTCTCTGAGCAGTTATGAAGGTCAAAGTGAGAGAATAGTAGGAAAGACCTGCGCACCTGTGGCCTTAACCAAGTGGAAAAGGAACCGAGAGAGGGTGAAATGCCTTCCCCCAGGTCAGGCCTTCAAGCAGTAAAATGTGGAAGACTAGGGCGTAAGCCTGGGACTTCCTCCGTGGGCCTCGGGGGGGGGGGGGGGGGGTGGCTCAGTGGACCCAGGAGGGGGTGGTGGTGGGTTGTATTAAGTTATCTGTGGCTGGAGAGCACATCTCCCCAAACCTTAGTGGCTTCAAACAACAGACATCCATGATCTCAGTTCTACGCA